AATTTATTTAGAATTTTCACGCAACATAAAAATAACCCTTTATCTGGTGCAACTCAACGCAACAAGGAAACCACATCTTTTCAATCTCGTAAGAAAACGTACGGCTGCTCCTTTCGTAGAGCGTTTGCGTGCGCTCGCCCCAGCCAACGCCCACAACGTTTGCTTACTGGTGGCCGTGGCTTACCAGGAAGCTTACATGACTAGCATATTTGGTCACGCAGCTCGTTGACAACGATAGGCTTGTACGTCATTTATAATGAAGCAATTTCACCACAAACTGTATTATGTGCTGCACGAGGATGCCTGCGTACTATTTTTAGCTTTGGCAGTGCTGCAAGGTAGTTGTAGGATGGAGTGTGGGAATGAAGGTGAGGGTTGAACTTTTCAACCATGCGTCACAGGTTCCTCAATAGAAAACATATACATGCGACAGGACACATCTTTTTTTTTTTATTCAGTGACCATGCGCCAACTCCCCGTTTTTTTTTCATGTTTAGAATTACATTTGTACAGGCAGCGTTCAAATGCGTTTGTGAGGAACAAGTTTTTTGTTAAATATCAGCGTTCTCACTGAAGCTTTAACCAACATTTTTTTTGGCAGCACCAAATACCTACTAATATTGCTTTTTTCAAAGAATGCCGGATGTTTGACATGGAATGCCCCGCCGAATCAAGACCTAATTTTGGCAACCGGGGGTGAAATTCATTCGGTAGGCTCCTTTGAAGTATGATATTATGTGTGTTATGTGAGATAGCAAGAGCTATTGGCTACCTATTAATCATGAGTAGCATTCGGTGCGCGGATGGACAGATCATCCACCTGCCTGTCATAGGGGACTATGGTGGCTGTTTACTAACCTCCGCGGTAAGAGCTGGTGATGAGCATGCAAAAACATTGGCTTCGTATTTCGATGCTAATCTGCAAATGTCGTCGAAAGACGATAGTCTTGTACGTGGAGGAAGTGAGAAAACCATTTATTTGATGTTTTGTGCAAGAAAATCGGTGAATGGTATTCTGGAGGCGCTGCGTTAGAGTGCCTCGAGCGTACTGCGGAGGCGAACGAGCACATCAAGTCACGTCACACGTGAAACATAAGCGCCATCTGGCAGTTTTAAAGACGATAGTCCATCTTGGGGACCTTCAACAAAAAAATTTGGTCTGCCTGCCTGCCTGCCTGTCTGTCTGTCTGTCTGTCTGCCTGCCTGCCTGCCTGTCTGTCTGTCTGTCTGTCTGTCTGTCTGTCTGTCTGTCTGTCTGTCTGTCTGTCTGTCTGTCTGTCTGTCTGTCTGTCTGTCTGTACATTTGTCTGTATGTCCGCTCTTAACGATACCTCCAACGGCCGATCCCATCCGCAGCGCCCACAATATTGCTCAAGCTTCAGCGTTTATACTTGTGAGATTTTCAAATAAATAGCAATCATTGCGCATGTGTTACCAACGCTTTGCTAAAACGACACGGTGGTGACACCTGTCCATCGCTTTGCGTTCTACACCTTATCAACTGCGAGAATGGCACGCATCTTTCTCCGCAGGCGCAGACGCCTTCCTTCGTTTTCGAAGACAACTGCGAGATGGCGCTCGAGTCTAACGTGCCTCGATGCGCTCGTTCGCCTACGCTGCAAGCTCAAGGCCCTCTAACGCAGCGCCTCCACAATATCATTCACCAATTTTCTCACGCAGAACATGATATAAATGTTTTGTTCACTCTCTCCGGACGCAAGACTATCGTCTTTCGACGACTTTGCAGTGTAACATGCAGATCTGGGGCCAATTTTTTTTGAAGAACAAAGTGTGTGCTCTGAGACGGGCGTGCGCACCCGTCTCAGAGGTGATAAGGTGTAAGCCATAAGGCGACGGGTAGGTGCCGCTACCGTGTCGTCTTAGCAAAGCGTTGGAAACACTTGCCTTTTCGTGCAAGCGTTGCATGGTCAGCGCAGCCTGATAAACGCTACGGTCCCTGGAATTACTTATGTATGCCTTTTCTAGTAAAAGACGCACATGCACAGTATATATGTGTTGTTATAGTGTTCCAGACATGCGCAATAATTGATTTTAAATTGACAATTGCACAAGTATGAACGCTTAACCTTGAGCAACAGTGGTGGGGGCTATGGATGGGGTCGGCCGTTTGGGGTATCCGCTGGTGCCGTTTAAAGTGTCCGGTACCGTTAATAGTGGACAAACAGACAAATGGACAGACGGACAGACCAAACATTTTGCGTCGAAGGTCCCCAAGAAGGCTATAGTCTTTAAAAGAGGCGTTCCGAGGGTTTCAGGCGCATGGCTCCGTCCGAAGGTCATATCCTAATGATTGCCTCTTTGTACCCGGACACCCTCGAATGGGTTGGGCAGTTTGGGGTATCGGCTGGTGCCATTTAAAGTACCCGGTACCGTTAAGAGTGGGCAAACAGGCAAATGGACAGACAGACCAAAATTTTTGAATCGAAGGTCTCCAAGAAAGACTATTGTCTTAAAAATACGTTTTCCTTAGAGCCGTATTGGCACAGGAGAGCAAGAGCCTGCGCTGCCAACGGCCGGTGTGTGACTCACGGGACAATATTGATGGGAAGGGGTCGAACTTGCATCGCGTATCTTCAATGTTCAGGCAATCGTAGCGGCTCCTCTGTGTGGAATTAATGTCCAATGCATAGGCGATCTATAGGAGTCACCTGGCTGATGGGGTCGGAGCCAGGCGGGTGTATGGGTTTATTAGGCGAGCCTCCCGGAGTTTATGACAGGTGTTTACCACTTCCCAAGGCAACAAGTTTTGCATTGGAAATATTGATCGGGAGATCTAGGGCTTGCTTGGCGATTTTGCGGAGGTTAATCTCCAAGGAATCATCATTCCCCCATAAGTGAGGGCACAGGGTCGCATACAAGATGCAACTAGTGACAAAAGCATGTGCAAGACGAAGTGCATCGTTGCTTTAAGACTCTCTGGTTGTTTGAGAGTAGGCCGATCATGCAGCCCACCTGTTCTCTAGTCTTATGGAACTTGTGAAGTGTTGTCTTGACCTTGCGGTGCCTGTGATTCTGAAGTTCAGGAATACGAATGCTCACCAATGCTGAAGCATTCTGACTGTTTTCTTTTCAGCCACTTCCAGTACTGTGTGGTGGTGGCTGACACCAAAAACATAGTATGGGCATGCCAGCTCAATCCTTCTTCCCACCAGAACCCCAATTCAAACAGAGAGAACTGGGCAGTGGCCCTGCTCGGCTGCCAGGACCTTCCGGCTCAACAAGCCATAGTCCCGTGTACCAGGACAGTGGCCACGACTAATGGGGTCACTGACTAGGGACTACACCTTGTACTGCAAGAAAGCTAACCCACCAGAGGCTGGTTGTCTTGCTAACCTTTCCGTTAGCTTAATAAATGTTTACCACCACCTGTAAGCGTTAATGCAAACAAGCTATCAAAGAGAACAGATACCTAATGCTTAGCCCCTGAGGTTAGGTGAGACTGAGCGATGACATACTATACCACTTATATCTGGCTCTCAAGCCAGAGATCCAGTAAGAAGCATGAATTTGGATGGAAGCGGATGAACTAAACTCTATTGGGGGCTGTTATGTTGGTGTACGTCATTGCGGTTAGGATGGCTATTACGGTTACCCGACTGTAATATTTTAAAAATTGCGAAGTGCATGCGCCAAGGATCTAAAGTACTTCCAATCGCTGTAAAACGTCATGCAAGGAACACTTATAAGTTCCTTGTACCTTGTTCATAATGAAACAATTTCACCTCAAAATATATTATGTGATGCACAAGCACTCTGCCTGTTTACGTCTCGCAGCTTTGGCAGTGCCGAATAAAAGTTCTAAGATGGTATATAGGGACATTTTTAGGGTTGCATTTCCCAAACAAATTAGAAAAAGCTACCTCATTATTACTTGGTGCGTGCAGAGTACATGGCCACTAGGTAGTAGATGGACACTAGGTTTACTGGGTCCCGTATTCTCAATTGAACGATCGCGAAAGACGAGCGTCACCTTTCATGGCATGATATCTGATGTGCACAGTAACTTTACCACAACTTGCAGGTGAAGTCGTTGTTGCACGGTGCTGATCATTATCAGAATCAGAATTGCAAAAGTTTTTATTTTCCAACAAAATGTTTGAGGGCCCGTGAGGCGAAAAGCTGCATCATACAGCTTGAATGTGTCTGAAGGCTCACACATGGCAGCAGTAACATAAAAATTAGCATGCATACATGGTGTTTGAGTGTCTCACAACACAGGATTGAACGAGCTGCATGAGCGCAAAGTGCCTCAAGTGTGGCGGTGGCGTATAATCTGGCTTCTACGCAATGACCCAGATTATGGCTTCTCTGTGGCTACTTGAAATATAAGACCGGACAAATGTGCTTTCAACGTTTTTGAGCACTTGTTTTAAGCACGGCATAATGCTTAGAGAATGGAACTTTGTGAAATCTATTTTTGTTGAGAGTTTAACATGGCCTGCTCACAGAGCTCAGCTGCAGTGCGCTGCCGCAGCGGCATCATCTCGCCATGTCAACATGATGCCGGCGAGCATCTGGCATGCGATAAGCCATGCGATAAACTTACTGTTCAAGCTCCTGGCACGTTCAAAGGACACAAAACACGTGCTCGCAAAACAACGTTTACTGTACACACTCAGATAATGCTCGCGGAGAGCTTCAACGTATAGAAGGCTTCGCACATCAACGAAAGGTTCAAAACTAGAATCTACTGCCTGCGTCACTGAAACACCAAACTTCACCAGTGACGTTTACTAGAAGTGTTTATTTATTCCACGCATGAGCACTGTAGAACTCCACCACGACGACAAAAGACAATATGTGGCTTTCACATTTACTATATATATATATATATATATATATATAATTAGCGCGGCGTACCAACGGCGGCAATTTTGCAAATGTTACTTATTTAGTGTACGGGCCAAGCATTGTGCACAAAAATGACGGTCTGAAGTAAAAAAAAACACAGTTTAATTTTAATACGTGTTTTTTTACAGGACTGAGAGATCTAACACTTATTTATTGAGCGGTATTGAGCACAAATGGCATTTGTGTAACCAAACGGTGAGTCACTTTAAACCTTGTAAAGCCTGAAAAACGTGCTTTGTAAAACTTTAAACTTCTGTTTTCTGAGACGCACTGAGGTGCTAACAGAAATTATCGATGCAAGTAAAAGAGGTATGTAACTTTCAGTACCCGTTTTGTCCATTTGCAACGTGAGGATTACGAGTTATTTTTTTTTCCTATAAGCCTCGTGCACTTTTGGCAAAGATGACAGGAACCACTGTATGTTTTCGGCAGCTTTGGGAGGCATCTGCATTAATACGGCCAACAACTGAATTAGCATAATTATAAACTGTAATGAAACAAGGGATCATGGGAGTTTAACAGTAAAACAAAATATTGTTTAAATTATGCACACAATGATGCTCATTCCATTACATATTTCTTCCCCTTGTTAACTATGAACAACCCTTTCCGCATTCAGGTCTAAAATTCTTGAATTGGTGCAACTCACAGTTGTGAAAACAGCGACTACACAGAGACAACCTGCAATTTTATCAGCGCTCCCTAGAAATAGTACGAGGCTGGTCGGCCAAAACATTATAGATCGTAGCTGTCAGGAGAAAACGCTGCCTGTGTTGGCACAGTTTCTTTCGCTTTCTCCCCGCGTCGCCGGTGAAGCCGTGGAGGAAGGGCCATAAGCAATCAGCTCCCCGTTTCCCGATTTGCTTTAATTTTTGCATCTCCAATATACACTCACACATTTAAAAGCATGCAGGAGCACACATGAAGTACGGTTGAAACCTCACCGATAATTTCTGGCTACGCAACTGTTCCCGGTATACATACTATTAACGCATGGTTGGTTCATTTGTTTCTTCTTTTATTGCTAGCCCGAATGCAGATTGTTGGCAACCGTTCCGATCTAAAAGAGTGTACATTTTGTCGGATGTGTACACGCGTTGGGCTTAGAGGTCTCAGGTTCGGTTTTATGATGGTTTTACCTAAACCATAAACACAGTGCATATTGAGAAATATGGTTTCGTGAGATGTAAACAGATGCTCACAATTTACTAATGAGACTTTTTTCTGTCAAGTGCTGGTCGTCGGCTTCTGCTAAACACGAGGCTGGTCTGTAGATGATGTGCGTTGGTGGCTGTGGACATACAGCTTTGCGGGTGTAATCAGCTTGTAATTTTTTTTTGTGTGTGCGCTGATGGCTGCCAGAAGAAAAGTACACAGTCGGTTTATACCTGAACATGTGTAAGTGTCTTCACATAATCCAGGGAACGGAACCAGCCGGTTGAAATGCGCACGCCCAGATCTCCATGCACAGTATAAAAATAGAATTCTGAGGAGGGTTTCGTAACACGTAATAGGCTAATGCATAATAGCTAACGCTCTTATTTTACGTACTGACAGAGCTAGACAACAAAGAGACAGGCACTTCATGTGGTCTCTGTCTTTTTATTATTGCTTATGTGTACTTTTAACTATCACAGCTTTCTGATAATACGCGACAATCATTGGACAAGAGGTGCGCCAGGCTGCCGATAAAGGTATTTTTTATCGCCTACCAAGGAAAAAGTTTATGACCTCTACACTCATTTGCGTGACACTTTCCGAAGATTTCTGTTCACCCGACGGCACTCTGCAGTTATTTCACGCAACAAACGTGATTAGCAGCGTACTAGTCACCAAGTGGTGGCTCGTGGTTCCTCAGACACATGCAGAATCAAGGACAAAAAAATATTTATAGACATTGAAAAAAGAAAAAAAAAAGGTAGATCCTACGTACAGTGCGAATCGATGGTATGCGACGCAAGAATGCGGAAGGTTGATTTGTCACAATAAAATCAGCCCAACATCACGAGGTGGACGTGAAATGACTTCCCTGTCATGATTATTACGTTTGCGCCTGGCATTTGTGCTCGTCGTCTATTCACGTCATATAATATCAATATTCGTATATGTGAAACTAGAAAAACAGCCGCTAGCACGCTATGAACGTAGCAGGTAGCAATCTTTCACATGACACGCATGTCATGACTAACATGTCTGGATGTGTCATTTATTTTGGGCGTTGATTTGCGCCACGTAATACTAAATTTGGTATATGTCAAGCTAGCGAAACAACAGTGAGCGCTCCATGAGCGAACCATGTAGTCATGTTTTACGGCACATGCTTGTGATGATTGACGCGTTTGAATGTGTCATTTATTTTCGTTGTCCGTTCGCGTCTTGTAAAACCGAATTTGGTATATTTGAAGCTAGCCAAACGGCAGCAAGCGCATCATGAGCGTAGCATGTTGTCATGTTTTACATGATATGCATTTCATGATTAACAGATTTGGATGTGTCATTTATTTTGGACGTCTGTTTGCGTCACGTAATACTAAATTTGGTACGTTTTGTATATGTGAAGCTAGCGAAACAACAACGAGCACTCCATGAGCGTAGCACGTAGTCATGTTTTACTGGACACGCATGTCACAATTGGCATGTTCGGATGTGTCATTTATTTTTGTCATCCGTTCGCGTGATGTAATACCAAATTTGGTACATGTGAAGCTAGCGAAACGGCCACGAGCGCATCATGAGCATGGCATGTAGTCAAGTTCTTACATGACACGCATATCATGATAATCATGTTTGCAAGTCATATACTTTCATCATCTATTTCCTATCGTAATACCAAATTGGGTGTTTGTGAATTTAACGACCGGGAGCGCATAATGAGCGTGGCACGTAGTCATGTTCTTACATGACACGCATGCCAGGATTTCCACGTGAAAGACTTAAGTTCGCCAAGTTGTCATGTAATACCATGCCAGTTTTGCAATATGTCATGTGAACCAAATTATCGCTGGAGGAGCAAGATCATGACATGTAAATCATGACGCGACATTCATGTCATGATGTTTGTGGTATGGCTAGTCACTTATGGTCGTCATACAGTCATGCGATGCCGTATTTTTTTGGTATAGATTCCATTATGCGAATGGCCAGGAGTGCTAAAGGTCGTAGGCGGCTAGACAGATAGATGCGGTCAAACTCGCCGAAGTTCGCTAAGAAATGCTTCGGATTTATTACGCACACATAAACTTGCTGTATATTACTCTCGTTCTCTACGCTAAGTTCTGACAGCCCGTAAGCATACGCGAACATCCCCACACACTGTCTAATACGGAGTCTAGGAGTCTGTAGACATCAATTATAGTACCGGTGTCCATGCAACTTAGAAGTGTGGCAGCTTGGGCTAGTTGGTATGGCATGACGATAGTTATAGCGCGAGAACAAAACGACGACACAGAGACAAGAAGGACACGAAAGACACGAGCGCTAACTTCCAACTGAGTTTATTGCGCAGAGCACGTAAATATATAGAGGAGACAGTGACTATGGCACAAGAGCAGAACATGAGTAAGAAAACCAAAAACAAACAACACAAATACAAAGGCACTGAAAAACAGCAAAGAAAAACCTAGAAGAAACCGAACCAGAAAGGTAAAGCTACCTGCCCGCACCGAATCCTTCGAGGAACCTGCGTTCCTTCTCGGACTAAGCCACGGAGGGCTTGCTAATCCAAGGCACCTGTTCGCGTTACCTGCCCGCACCGAATCCTTCGAGGAACCTGCGCTCCTTCTCGGACAAAGCCACGGAGGGCTTGCTAACACAAGGCACCTGTTCGCGTGCCATCTGCGCAGCCTCGACAATGACCCGGGTGCTTACATCTCTGTGTTTGTACAACGTCGCTGTTTCCTCGAAGAGGGGAACACACTTGCACTCAGTGCAGTGCTGGGCAAGAAAACCATCTTTCCTGTTTTTAACATTGTTCGCGTGCTCTCTCAGCCGATCGTTCAGACACCTTCCGGTCGTTCCGACATAACAAGCACCACATGAAAGGGGGGTCCTATAAACGACTTCCCGGGAGCAGGCCGCATACCTGTTTCGATGTTGAACTCTGCAATCTGTTGATGATTTCGTTTTCAGGGGGTTGGTAGATTTGGTGAGGCTGATTAATTTGAACGGTGCTGAGAACAGGACACGAACTCCAACACGTTTTTCGATTTTTTTGAGCCTATGTGATATCTGGTGTATGTATGGAATCACGGCTATCCTTTCACGTTCTGTATCCGTGTTGATCAGATTCTGTCGCGTCCTCTGCTCCGCCTTAATAGTCCGCAGGATCGTCTCCGCAACAGACGCGATAAACGCCTCGGGGGAGCCTGAAGCCTTAAGGCGGGAAACTTGAGCTTTGAAGCTCGCAGAGATATTGTGGGCGCAAGACCTATTTAAAGCATTCTCAAGGCAGGTTCGTGCTATGCCTCGCTTAACTATCTTACTGTGAGCAGAAGAAAGGGGAGTAGAGGTTTCTGCGCACGTGGTTCATAACACCAACAGATGTGCTGTGGGCTAAAAACCAGATTTAAATCCAAAAAGCGTAATTTGTCATTATCGGGCATTTCATGTGTCACCACAAGAGGCTGCAAACAATTTTCGAACACGCCTATAGTTTGAGTGGCCAACGAGTGAAACATAGAAGACTTACAATTTAGAATAACCAAGAAATCATCCACGTATCTAAAAATTTTGACGACATGCCAGCCTTCTAACTTTTCCTGCAGTTTTTTGCCCATTTTTGCCAATAGAAGATCACTGAGTAGAGGTGCTATGCATGAACCAATTGAAACACACTTTTTCTGCAGATAAATGCAATCATTCCATTGAACGAAAGTAGACGTAAGATAGAGCAAAACCAGGTCAAGAAAATTCCGCGAACAAATGCCAGTTTTTAATTGGAAGTTCAATTCCCCGAAAATTTCTATGTTATCCCTTATACATTCTAGTACCTCATTGTGAGGCAGCGAGTAGTATAGGTCCTTTATGTCAATTGAAAAACCGAAAAGATTAGATTGATTTGACTGTTTGAAAAATTCTATCAGAGCCTGCGAGTTTTTGATCACAAATGTAGTGTCTAAAGATTGACGACCCATTGTGTTAGGTGCCTTGTGTTAGCAAGCCCTCCGTGGCTTTGTCCGAGAAGGAGCGCAGGTTCC